TTTTGATTCATTTGCAAAGCTTAGCAGTCGGACTGCATGCGCCCCGTCACCAGTCGTGGTGATGTCATCAGAACGGATTTGAGTGGGCGAATTTCCCCTCTTCTGTATGTACTGTGAAAAATGACTTTTCTCTGCGCAGTAGTAAACCGTGATTGCTATACACTCTGCTTAATTCACCACATTAGCTCAGTTCGCAAATGTGCTTAAAACTCCGGTTGCGCGATTTCTTGTTGTTCGAGGAGCAGAGTAGATTGACGGAACACACAGGAATCGGAATGTGGGTCATGGGCAGCGTAAGAATTTCGATCTACTTTGTAGGTAGCACTGCGCTAGAAAGAGTAGTATGGGATAGTTTGTGAAGTAGTAGTGGTCGAGGCACAAGTTACAGCATCCACTTCGATTCATCGTAAAGCTCACAAAGATAAAAGCTACAGGAATTTCAGCCTGTGCCAAAAAGAGGATTGCAAAACTAAATCACTGTGCTGTCGATCGTTTTGTAAGTATCTTTAGAGTTTCTGTCCTCGTGGCATGTGCACAGAGTAACAGGGGAATAGCGGCCAATTTGCCTTTTAGACATCTACTATTCAGTTTCCTACTTCTGAGGATGGAGTTCAAAATCTCGCCTGTATACCTGTTTTACTTAATAATAGCGGTTAAGATGTTACTATTTTTCCAATATTCGTTCATTTTAGCTAGCTGAACTGGCACACTTTCGAAGAAATTTCGAAGAAGTCGTCTGGAAGCATCACAAACGAAATCCATGCTAGGTCCCACAGGAGTCTCTCGCAAAGCCAAAGTTATTCACAAAGGAGTGTATTTTGCTAATCAGTTAATCAGAGGAAACACTGGAACCTACCCATGTAACGGTGGATACTAGTGATTGGGCATGCGAGTAGTATATTTTCTCGTAAATATGCTTCGCGTCTCTTGAATTTGTGGGATCGCATTCGCTTGCATTTAAGCCACAGGCAATGAATATCCAGACAAGTTCAGGAGGACGCGTTTAAGGAGAAGAATGATATTCAGTTATTACAAACAAGATGCATATGGGATTTTTAGTTCCCTGTCCAATAGTCTGTAACTGTTCACTAGGCGTTTTCTAGTAAAAAAAACTGCGTAGCGAAGACCTTCTCCCTTTCACCCGTCCATAATCTTTCTTTTCATGATTTGAACCATGGCTAATGTAGTCATATCATCAAGCTATATAAAAACTACTCTCTTGCCCATTACTGAACATTATGCTTAATTTGGCTAAGATGTACGCGGGTAGTCAGACTGATCTCCTAGCATCTATGGAATAGCTGCAGAGATTTGTTTGGATTTCAGCGCACGAAAACCCGATTTAAAATAATTTTGTTTCTCCACTTCACTATCCAATTGGTTAGGTAACTAAAATGATATCTCTGAATAAAATCTAACTGCCTTTTTGATTTTTTTAAATTTCACATACAAACGAAGGTGAACGGTTATCAAAATAACACAGAATTACTTTCTTTTCGTTGCGAATGATTCGGAGATTTATTTTACTCTTTATCACGTACAATAATTCCAGATGGTTTCCACATGGGTCTGAATAGTTGTTCATCGTTCTTACACGCAGTCGACGGTTTAGCAACTATCCCCTAACTATCCCCAACACTATTTATAAATGTTGGACCTTTAATAGTTCAGTTGCCTTGTTTGGTGAAGTAGTATGTTTTAGGTTTGCTATATTCCTATGCACTGCTGGTTTGGAAATAGCATAGCAAAAGTCTTGGATCTGAATGCAGAAAAGTTGATCAAGTGGTTTCCACGACATAATGTAACATGGGGACGGACCTCTGGCCACCCAATATACATAAATCTTTATACATGGAGAGATAGATAGATAAATAGATAGATAGATAGATAGATAGATCGATAGATAGATAGATAGATAGATAGATCGATAGATAGATAGATAGATAGATAGATCGATAGATAGATAGATAGATAGATAGATCGATAGATAGATAGATAGATAGATAGATCGATAGATAGATAGATAGATAGATAGATCGATAGATAGATAGATAGATAGATAGATCGATAGATAGATAGATAGATAGATAGATCGATAGATAGATAGATAGATAGATAGATCGATAGATAGATAGATAGATAGATAGATCGATAGATAGATAGATAGATAGATAGATCGATAGATAGATAGATAGATAGATAGATCGATAGATAGATAGATAGATAGATAGATCGATAGATAGATAGATAGATAGATAGATCGATAGATAGATAGATAGATAGATAGATCGATAGATAGATAGATAGATAGATAGGTATAGATATAAATGTTTTTGTGAATGACTTGATGGCGTCACAGTGGTCCACGATGGGACTGCAGTAGGCCTCCGGTCTCCGGTTGGAGAGTTGTCTGAGTGTAACCTGAGAGAAACCACATTTCATGGTAACATGTAGAAATATATGATGTTTTTCCCTTTTGTTGACGATGAACCGATGCACTGAAAAGGTTCACAACTCTGGCAAGGTTTATTTAATAAATAGAGATTTTCTTACAATGTGAAACCTATTAGATTGAAAGATTGTTCAATTTTATTGAATGAGAGAGCTGTAGCACCTAAAGTTACTACATCTGTCGAAAATTTTTATCCCTCCTCTTTTGTTGATGGCCAAATTTGGGGAGTTAAATGGATCGAAGCTCACTTACCCTATCACAGATACACACGTCGAATCTGCTAGCCAACAAGAGTTACACTAGTTGTACCACTTGAAAACACAATTAAAGATCCAACTCCTGTTATAATGAGTTTCTTCTGAGGATTGAGATCGAAGGGTAGGGGAATCTCAGTAAAATTCCTAAAAACATGAGGGTTCTAAGTAGCTGACCTCAAAGGCCATGCTGCACAATGCGCATTTCAAGAACCTACTATCCGAATCGGCATATTGTTCTTTGCTTCATTTCAAGCCCAATTTACCGGACAAGGCTCATGTAATACACAGCACATGCAAGGATTCCATGTGAAGACATTAGTGCATTGATCACAGTCTTGCGCGCTGAGGTCTTCCTAACCAAAAGCCAGCTCATAATGCCAGTCACCAAACATGACAAACAATGTTTACTCAAGAGCTGCGCAATTTGATTGCATATGCCTTATCACACGACTACCAACCCCTTGCTATGCATCATTACGCAATGCTTATGCCACCTCAATTGGTATTGAAAGGTTTACAGTCAAATTGCCCTGCTCAGCGTACAAGCAAACGACTATCTACGTTTCCTGGGCTAACAACATTTTCCTCTGAAGAAAACGATTATTGTCAGACTCGTCATAGCAGAGATACTTTCAAGCAATTGAATGTCACCTTTTTTAATGCTATCTGAATTTGCCACCAAGTCTTTTGTCATGCATAAAAGCACGAAAAATGATGAGTGGATAAGATAATCAACGGTGTGAAGTCATCAAAATGAGCGGAAATATCATCCAAATCGAGAAGATTTGTGAATGCCAATCGGATGAGAACATGGTGAATAAACTCGCAGCATCATGTAAGCTGTTCTAGCCTGCAATGGCAAATCGCGACCCCAAATCATTAAATGATCCCGTGGGAAGTCATGATGGTTCTCCTCGACATTATGATAATGAAGCCTTGAGAAACCTAAATTGCCCAGTAAACGATTTTGTGCTGAACATCTCCGCAATCGGTGAGCTCACAAGGCCACAACCTGGTCATTCTACTACGGTGATCCTTGAATTTCTTGAATACCGAGGAGTTGATGGTTAGGTTTAAATTAAAACAGGACATCTTGAATGCAAGATATCCCCAGTGAGAAAGGAAGAAACTATTCCTGCTTTGATTTATAGTCTAAAACTATTTTCAGAAAAGTTTGGTGAAAGTCGGTAGATTTAATGCTGGGCAACGTTTCACTTTTGACAAAAAAGCTTTGTTAAGCCAAGTGACCAGGCTCTGAGGTTAGCCGAGATTTAAGGCGAAGGAGAACCAAGTTAAATCTCTGTTAGTTACCGACCTAGGGACCTTATGTGTCAGCGTGTGAACAGGTGTTGGGCCGATAAGGAAACCCAAGTGGATTTGGGTCCGCCCTGAGGTCCAGTTTGTAAATAAGTGTATTTGTCCTAAAGTCCAGTTCCTCTGATTTGATTCATACAATGATTTCTCTTGAATGTCGTTCGCACATTCCGTCCGTCTGTGTGGATGAGCTAGTGCTACGATGGTTGTGTAAGAGGGATTCTGTGAACTTTGGTCTGGTAGGGATTTCCATCCGCTGTTTTTGCTAATGATTCTGCATGAACTGACAACCACACACAGTCATGTATCAACTCAGCTTATCTAAGACCGCTTTCCATACGCTCGTCAGCTCCACACCCTTGATTCTCTTCACGCTGTAAGGCTTGGTGATTTCCACCGCCTCGGCTGTCAGCCGCCGTGTTTGATTCTCTTCACGCCTCGGCTGTCAGCCGCCGTGATGTGAATCCCAGTCCCCTTACTAAAACTTCATTCTCTAGATCTATTCTATTCTATTCCCGTGTCCAAGTCATGTGCCGCCATCTCTGAGTCTTTGACCAGTGTTCGGTGTTCTTCCGCATTCCTCGGTGGTTTGTTTATTCTCCCTTTATGTTCAGTAATTCTGGTGTGCAATTCCCTGACAGTTTGTCCTACGTACACCTTAGTGCAATCGTATGCTGGTCACTTGGCCTGACAAAGCCTTTTCGTCAAAAGCCAACAATGAATCAACCAATCGTTACCAAACTTTTCCGAAAACGATGAGCACTCAGTTGTTTCCAAGCGTTTCTCACTTGATTGAGTCAACCTAATTTTTATTCCGCGGATCACTGTCACCAACTCTTTCTCATCGCACCAGGTCACTATGACTCTAACATCCATCCTTTAAAATGTTTATGCCAGTTTAGTCCTGATCGATAAGTTGGAATGCAACCAGGATATCGATCGAGAAACAGACCACAGAGAGAAATATTTCACCAAATATGTTTGATCTGCTGCTTTTCTGCCAATCGAAAACGACCTTCATGTGCATGTACACCGAAGCTGACTCATCTACACCCAATCAAGAAAACAAGATTCCACCAACCGACAGACCCAGACAAACAATGCCCTGTCACGCAGAATCTACTAGCGAAACGGAATGTGAAACCATGTTTGACAGTAAGTGCACACAAAGATGCCAGCCAATTAATTGCAACAAGGCATACCACTTGAAACATACATGGGGAACGGCTTGTGAATTGCCCAAAAGGTTAATGATATATTATACCCTGTAATTTGCGCCCACAACGACCTACGGATTTCCAGTTTTCGCCACATTTGTTTATCAAAAAAACGGATGAAAGACATTATTGTGTGCCTTCAGCTACTCTGGTTTGTCTGTTCTACTTTTTGCAGCAAAGCCATATTAATTTGTTTTTAATTTCTGGCGGTAGTGAGAGAATCATCCAAAAATGCTGGGGAACAATATTTACCGATATTCGGCATTTGGCGCTAGATGAATTTTTGCAAGACCCAATTGGTAGTTCCCTGCCTTGAAAAGAATCTCCTTGCTGGTGCTAGCTTTCCTAGCAATCAGTTTTTAAGATTCCATCCATTTTTTCAACAAAATGCTGTCGCTGCTTGAGGGAATCCCATACTCGAAAGAATACTACTCACAAGGTTGCTGAAAACGCTTCAGAAGCCCATGATCGATTTTATCCTTTTTGAAACCTATTAGATAGACGAACTCTCCGGGTTTCTGTCAATCTTACGTTCTAGTTGTTCGGGTCGTTTGTTGTTGTTGCTTCGTTTAAATAGGCAGGATAGAACCGGTGTCTAATGGTTACTCACGTTATTAACTTTGAGTTGTTGCACGCCCCGCGTACTTTGACTTCTGAAAACCCGGCTACAGTAATCACCCATAGGATAACAGCTGCAAAGGGATGTCATCACCCATTTGGAAAACTTACAACAGTGTGTCGTCAGGCATAACCTGTTCTGTTGACCTTTCAAGAATAAAAGTTTCCCATCCCCTTGGAAATTTAAATCCTTGATCTCCTGACGATGATTTACTTTGAAGGATTATTACCGGATCATTACCGGAGAACTGCAAAAGTGCAAAAAGCATACGCACCAGTGCAAAAATGACAGTTATGATTTCCTGTTTCGAGCTCAAAATAATTGTTCAATTGGTAGAACGATAACCTGGTTTCCCAGTCGTCACTTCAATAATTGCTCGGTTTGAGATGCAGTGGTGAAATGCCTTTGCCAACATTCCAAGCATAACTGTGAGTTTAGTGTCATTTTCAACTAGAGCGCTCAGTTTCATTAACCCCTCACCTAAACGATGCTGATGTAAAAGGAACAATAGCAGTGTTCAGGCACAACGCAAGTCAAGCCTGTTCATTTCTATCGACGAAACATCCAAGGAGGCCTATGGGCGAAGGAGATGTCTTGATTTGAGCACATCAGATTCTACACACTTCATTGAGGCGCTTCTGCGTAGCCGAGTTTTATTAACATACAAAGGTAAGATCTACGCTCTTTGTGCATTTTATGACTACTTGTAGGCCCACTCATAGGCCCACGTCGTAAGCCATCAATGAACAATGTCACTTTCAAGCGTCCGTCTCGCTGTTTGAGACACTTGGCCAACTAACCGAGTTAGGAAAACTTAGTATTTTCTCCTGTTTAGCTTTAGGAATACAGATGTCTCCAGAAAGCACTGATGGAGCAGCAATACAATATTCACCGGGAACATCGGGTGACCGCATCCAATTCATGATCTCACTCAAGACATGCATTTTTTATTCGTGCACCCTAAGCTTCTACGGTTTGATGCGAACAAACCATAAGAGTTGGAGAAGTGGTTCAACAAGTTGTTTGTGTGCACTGATGCTAAATTAATCAGCGTCAAGCCTCCACCTCTCTCCGAAGGGAGGAACAGATTTTTCAAAAAACCTCACTATCCCGAAATCAAACCAAATTACAGGTGTTAGGTTCATCGAATCAATCTACTTTTTTTCCAGCCGAAACAACCAAATGGCCCCTTCAAAGTTCGTTTTTTTCACGGTATGACAGTTTACTGAACATGTTGTTAGGCGGACAGGACTTGGCTGCTGCTAGCAAGGCGACGAAAAAGTGCACACCAATGAGTTCCGAACTCAACAGTGCTTGATTTTGCGAAGCAGTTGATAATTGCGTAATTACGCGAATAAGCCGAGAGAGTAACTAGAAGCTGTGGCTAGGCAAGAGACCAGCCAAAATGACTAGTGTCTATGCAATACTAACTTACTTAGTTACAATGCAAAGACATATCCTACATTTTATTGATAGGCTTCCTTTCAGTGTAAACCTTGCCTTGGAGTTAAACCACTTCATTTTACATCCGTTATGGAATGCAAATATCCATACGGTTCCAGTCAACGGCTCTCACGTGATTGGCCGAAACTGTCCTTGAAACAGCCGAAAAATCTGCTTCATTTTTAAGAAAACTGGATACCCGAATGGACCTGTTTTTGTAAAGGTCAGATGGTTACAGTGAAGATCAGAAGCTTGAAACAGAAATCACCAGTGTAAGTTTTGGTCCACCGATTTCTTACCGAATCTCTCTGAGCGTATTCAATGGATGTTTCCTCTGAAACAAACTTCTTACTCAGATTTATTAACGGTAAGTATTCTAGGTGCATGAACGTTTTTTAATGTGGCAAACTGGAGTAAACTTGTTTGAATAGTGATACCACAAAATACATTAGGAAACAAGTTGATCCACCCCACATAAAAAAGCACGTTATTCGGAAGTAAAACCTTCCCAACCCCATTTTGATTACTGTCTCTTGGTGAATGAAACGTTGAGTGCGATATTTTGTGTCACGCGACTTCGTCGAAAGTAAAGTTGCCACGGGACCCCCCCCAAAGCTCAATACTCCTATGCTAATGTCTGGGATTTCAGCCTGATCCAGTGTGTTAGTGACGGCTGGTGTCGTCTCAGATGTGGAAACACCAAGTCATGTGACAAAAAATGGTCAAATAATCTGAAAGGTCTGCTTGTGTTTTTTTGGAACGACTGGCGGAGCCAAAAAGGGTGATGACTTCTAGGCTGCAGAATCTTAACTGCTGGAACTCTGTTTAATACGAAAGCGCTTTGTTCAGCAATCATTTAACATATACCGAAAAATTTCAGCTGTCAAGTTACCCTTTTATAGAGCTAGTACTCGGATTCATCTTCAAAAAAAAGATTCTGGAAAATTAGAACCAGTAGCGTAAGTCACCTGATCTCAAACCTAACATTTTGTTCTGTGGCTTTTCAAATTATTTACTTCAGAGCTAAGGAACGATTTCGAAACTTTAACCTTTGACCTAGGTTTGAAGATGGCGATCGATTCGTGAAAAAATGTGTGGATCTATTACGATATTTTTATCTTCTTATTTGAACAGGTGTTACAAGTTAGAATGGTTGCAATTCGTGGAAAAGCTAACAGGAAATTCGTTCGTTGCTTCCGAAGCCATGGGATTGAAAGAATGAATGACCATATTTGGCTGGGAAGTAGAACAGCGTCCACGTCATATAAGACTCACCACTGTGATTACAAGTGCGATCCTGCTGACTGCTAGAGTTCTTATTCGAGTCACAAAAAAGCTGCAAAACAAAATAACTCGTGCTTTTCTGAAGATTCTAGCTTTTGTTAAGTTGGTCTCTTTCCGAATTTATCTGCAGACTACGCCTTCAAGGCTTGAAGTCTCCGCCGAAAAATTTTTTGGTGTGCTGGTCTGGACATGATGAAATGCTTTGAGAATATTAACACCCATCCAAAACAGCTATTAGGCACTAAAAATTACAGCCAGGGTGAAACTGATTTATCGGCGATGCAGCAATCGAGGGAAGGTATAATGGTTGAATTCGTTGAATTGTGGGAAAATCTGATAGGGTCCCAAAACCTTAACTGAATAAGCCATTCAACTGTGCTCAAAAATCATCAGAAAACATAATGGATCGAAAGTTTGAGTCTTTCGATGAGCATTCTTTGATCTTTCCATTAAAACAAGCTTCAGGCAAAACTGTTCAGTTGTTCTTTGCCTCTCCATGAAGGTTTATCATTCACTCATTGTGAACGATGACACTAAAGATGGCAGTCGTTGGGCGCTTCTTGGTCCTTCAGTATAAGTTGATCGAATCACGAAAAGAAAATTAGACTTCACTACTTATTGATAGTTGAACAGGTGGTCATTGATCTGTTCGTCGAGCCTGGCAGTTGGCTTGCAAATGTTTCTTCACCACCCGAGCAGACATCGTCAGTCTGCAATTGATGATGTCTCCTCGTATGGTGAAGAAACGTTTGCAAGTCAGCTGCCAAGCTCGACAAACGGATCAATAGTCACATGACCAACACCTAATAAGCTCACCCGATTTACCAATAGTTTAACACATTACTGTTTACAATATATAGGTGAACTACTCAAGAAGTAAGCAAATTTCTTCTCTTAGGGGAACCAGTCAATACCAGAAAATCACATGAAGTTGCACTTTTCAGAGATGGGTGGTGGTGCATCTTGACAATGCAAGTTTGATTACTGTACTCTGACATATACACTGCTGAATAAATTTGCAATTCCAATGTCCTTGTCACAAGGTACGCACCACTAGTGGTCCTTACATCCGCAAATCGTATCGCTGGTTTTGCGATAGCTTGATGAGCAGTGTTTGCCCAAAATATTCTTACAAATTGCAAGACAATATTGTTACATAATCCAGACAACTGAGCTTCTAAATGCTGTTTCCTACTCCCCTCCGCCAAAAAAAATGAATTGCCCATCAATCGAGTTTGACTAATTTATCGCTCACGAACGGTATCCTGTCGGCAGAGTCCCCTAAGAGGATTGCCCCTCCATACAGACAGAATTTTTCCAGCAAGTGCCGCAACTTTCCTTGAGAAATAGAAATTTACGATACCAAAGATAGGAAATGTTCTCTGTTCCCTTTCTCTGTTCCCTCAGCAAATTTTTAACACCCCACAAAAAATATCAAGGAAGTGCGTGCTGCCAGTGACTTTATCTCTTTGTCAACTATTACGTTAAGCGCTTAGTGTGATTAGCTTTGATGTTGTACCACCATACGATGCTATCAGGTTTTCCTTGATCTGCATTAACGTGACTGACAACCCGGTCCAGGTAACGGGAATGGTTCTAGCAGGCTACCCGGCTGCTGCTGATGCGTGCAGCCAGTTCGTCTCAGTTACAAACGAAACATCTCTTTATATCGAAAGACCATCGATATATTAAAAAGCACAGGTGTGAAGGGGGTTCTCTCTCTAGCATGTTTGTAGATGGACAGCCCCACTTACCTCGTTTGCCGGGACACTCCAACTCCCAATCATTGGTCAGAACTTAGTTGGTTTCTTCATAAGTATTCATGCCAATATCCGTGCCAATATCATCAGTGTGGCCAACTCAGAACATAGATTGACACCAACGATTCAGATTTCGAACACTCTGTGTATCGTCAATTACTTTGGCATTTGAAATTTCCCACGTTTCTTCGGTCTAAATTTTAATCCCCTACCCCGCGCTCCACTTTTGTGTTTAGTGAATGTGTATGAACTGGCGTTTGTTTGTCCTTACCATTTCACTCATTTGACTTTGAGGTCATCCAGCCATTTGTGGCCGACCTCATGCACGTGTGACCATCTCACGTGGGAGCTTGTTTGTTCATTTAGTTTGTACTTTTCTAGACCATTTGTTGTGGACGAGTATCCACTGTTGAGGTCTGTATACTTTTTCAAACAATGTTTTGCGTTAATAGCACCGTATAGAAACACAGCTCCGACGTGTATTGCCGTAACGCGTCACTCGAAGATACCGTTTGCCAGTTACTCTCTGACTTCTCAGGATGTTCGTAGGCATTGGGTACAACTTTAAATCGACATGTACCACTTTTTACCATCGACAGGCTTGCTCAGGCAGCTGCGTTCCGAACACCTGTGATTCCTGCTCATCTTTAAACAGCGCTTAACTAGAGTAAGCCAAACGTAACCAGAGCATATTCGAACAGAGGGCGAGCTAAAATTTCTCAACCGGAAGCGACAGAATGAGTTTCCATGTCACACTGACTACTGATGCAGCTAATGACTGCTTATCTTAAACAGCGCTTAACTAGAGTAAGCCAAACGTAACCAGAGCATATTCGAACAGAGGGCGAGCTAAAATTTCTCAACCGGAAGCGACAGAATGAGTTTCCATGTCACACTGACTACTGATGCAGCTAATGAGCTTCCAACTACGCTAATACAGAAATTTGGGCACTACATCTGAATGGATGTTCTTCTAATTAGGAAGACTAGCTTACGCAGACGGACGGCTCTAGCAAATAAACGAATTCCATGGTGATTTTTAAGACAAACAACTCGGTTTCATAAGCTTAGAGTTTTCGGTCCATCTATTCTTGTTTGCACATGCTCTTTCCCCATAGTGCAAAACCAACAAGATGCTGTTCTTCACTCAAAACTCTAAACTGAATAGCGTATCCTTGGACTGTGAGGATGCGATTCCTTGAGGCGCAACTCAATCAGCCAGGCAATTGAATGAGTAGTTCTCCACATAAACACTGCAGCCAAGAAATAATGTCACATTTACGTCATTTTGATTTCATACTGCAAAGCAAACTGTTATCGTTCATTCGTTACGTGGGTTTTTTCGATGAGCCAATGCTCTGGGCGGGAAAGTGGGAGAGCCGTTTGTATGTGCCTCCGATTACTGCAGGCAGTCTGTTCCTGAATGCTGTCAGTTTCGGATAGTCATTGTGTATATTTGTTGTTGAAACTCCATGGTTAAAAGCTGTAAGGCTGTTTCCTGTTACCGTGTCCTTCCAAACTCGGTCTTTTTCTTCTCTCCGAACACTTTTGCCTCCTGGCTTGGTGGACCGTAATTCTGAAGTAGTGGTCTGATAAGGTCCGGTCCCGGAATTATTCTGGGATTCTTCTGCTCTGGTGTATTATTCCCAGTAATTTTGTATTGAAGATTAATCCGATTTTTTATCCGTTTGAGGTTTTGGTCAGCATCTTACTTTAAAGCAACTCATAAGGTTCCTGGAAGCTTTCCGAAAATCAACCCACGATTCTGTTATGCTTTAGGCTCGTCAGGTAGGCATAGTTCCAGAGTTTCCAACGGCACTCATGTTTGACTTGAACCGCACATCGTATGCAATTGTCGAAATACCTACATTTGAACAGCTTGTTTTTCTGGCAGGTGCCAGCTGACAAGCCAACAGGCCAGACAACCTAAAACACACGAACTTTCAAAGACCAGCTTACGATTCACGTACACTCAACGTTCTGAAGAATAACCATGGGATTCACTTCGATCGTGAAAACTTGTGGAAATGACTCTATCAAATGGGTCTAAACGTTCACCGTGATAGCCGCCAGCAGCACTTGATAAATATATATATATATAGTCTATTGTTCATTCCATTGCTTATTTTATTCGTTTATTCATTCATTTTGTTGTTCATTGTATACTGTTTCGTAGTCCAACAGACAAGCAGTTGGTCCAGCTTGGACTGCCAACCAACCTCTCCAATGCTATAAATTTGTAAAACAGCAACACTGTCCGTGAGATTTCCTTTATTTGGACCAATTCTAGGAGAAGTGTTTCGTTTTGTAGCGGGAATGTGAGATAAAAATTCTGATTCCGTGCACCAAAAACACGTGGTCCCCAACTTAGAGCACTTCCACTGCAGTTCTGAAAGATTTTGCCTGCACAGAGGTTTCTACTTTTGAATTTTGAACTGCAAGAATCGTTATTCCCTCCAAAACTTTCATTGGATGTTTTTTCTCATGATAACTTGGGGAGCTAACGTTTTGTTAAGAATGATGACCTTCAAAATAGACCGCTTGTTTGACAGTTTCCCCAACAAAATTTGTATCAAGCGAACGCACTCTAGTAGTTCCTTTTGTTTTCTGCTCCACAAACCACAAGAATAGTCTAATAAAAACTATATAATTTCGGAAACTGTTTGAAGAATATTGAAAAAGGATGTAAAAAATGCTTTCAACCAGCCTGCCGATAAAAATAATCTCTCGACTGTTTAAATGCTTAGGTGATATGGCAAATGAGTAGTGCACCATTAGTGACATTGTAACGTCTTTCACATGTGGTTATTTCAGGAAGTTCACGCCATCGATTGCATGTGATGCTGAGCAGGAACAGACAGAAACAGACTTGGCGTGATGAAGCTGTTGTGTCAAAAGTGAAGCGTTACCCAAATGAAAACTACCGATTGTTTACCAAGCTCCTCTGAAACGATGACTTCTCAATCGGTTCCAAACCTCTTCCCATTGGTTGAGAAACAGGTCACTTTTGGGTGACCGACAAATCATTCTGGTTGCGCTACCAAGCGACTATCTGTGTTGGCTGTAAAACAGCAAATTCAAACTTAATTTGGCCAAGATATTCGGAGAAAAACAGATAAGTAGGTAAGAAAATCAGACCAAGGGGATAAGCCCACAAAAGACTTCAAAAAGTGAGAGAAATGAAGAGAAAATTGACGGGAAAAAGAAAACACTGAAGCGTGAAATAAAGTTAAAATAGGATCATCTCAAACAATGTGACAGGCTCATACAGTAACTGCTTCATTCTACCACTATAATTCAAACACGCGATGGTGATTTTCACGTTGGTAATCAACCCACAATGTAGAAAACGAAGTGGTTAATTGATTAAATCATTAGGAAATCCAAACCGCAAAGTTATATTCAGTACTTGGAAAGCATTATGCCCACAGGTCAAAGACCGCGTCAACTAAGTGATTTAGAAGAAAGCCACAAGTAAACAGTTGCCTAATGGCAGAAAAATGGGAACTTTTCTGTGTTTTGGAACCAAGACCCCCTTCTGCTACCACTGCAAATACAGGACTATCTCTTGTTGAGGAGACGGAGCCTGTTCACACCCCAAAGCTACCCCAGGTACTTGTCCAACTGATACACAACTTTACAACAGGCGTGTGAAAAGGCTGCACGCAAGGTAAAGAAATGACATTTTGGTAAAGGTGTTTCCTATGAGGCATTTCATTTAAAAGTATTTACTAGGAGTCGATTATTTTGTGACAGAGTCAATCCAGTCATACGGACGAAGGATAACTATCCTGGGACGATGATAGAAAGAAAAATGTGGCGAAAAAACCATATAGTCAACCCCATATTTCACGAAATAAATAAAAAGTTCATTTCAGTATAGTCATTTAAACCTCGTCTTCTTTCTGTTTTATATATATTTGTCGTTTCCTTTTTTGTTAGTCCCAAACCCCAGTAAATAAGGAGAGATTTTTCAAAACGGCAATGTGAGTCACAGTGCGTGGACCAGATAGATAGGCAAACAAGCTGTATCACGCAAAAATGGGTATCCTCCCAACGTATTTTTTCTGATTGGCCTAGGTTTATTGTATCCTTAAGAATTAAGCTGAAATACGCTAACCATGTGAATACAGCACAGAGGGTCTAGGGAGCATATATAATAATTCCAGTGGCTTCTCGAGCTATCCTATTCTCAACGAAGCCTTGTTATGTCGACGCGAAACAAACGCCACTCTAACTGACGAGCTGCATTACTGTATTCTTGACACAGATGTAAGAAAAATCAATTTCTCACGATCGGCTGCCACATTATTTGGGGTCCCGCCTTCATTCACTCTATCCGTCATTTTCTGGGGACGGTTACCGACTTTCTTTTGAGAGTTTAACTTTCATTCAGTGGTTTTTGTACCAACAAAAGTAAACTGTTTTCTTTTGTTCCGATTATTTAACTTTTCGAGGGATTACGTTGTTTAGTTTGATTCCAAAGAGATTCCTCACTGACAGCGATCCTATGTACACTATCATAGCGGTTGCTCAAACCGTAGTCTAACCAACTATCACCGCTGGATTCAAACCACACAAAAGTGTCTCCCTATTTCAATTGAATCATCTTAGTTTCAAGCAAAACATTTCACTTCTTTGGGGAAATACACTCATTTGCAAAGAAATTTGGTCTTGCGAGAGACTCACCTGGGACCCAGCTGAGTCTCTCGTTTGTTATGTGTCCAGACAACTGAATGTGCTGCACCAGGCCGCCTCAAGTTTCAGTTGCAACGATATTCGACATATCGCGATACAGGTATATTTGTAACGCGCTACTCACTTCTCTACGAGTAACCCACTGAACCTTGAGGCAAGCAAACACGTTGCGGTTGGCCTAAAAGTTGTATAATGTCAAGTAAACGAGTAGTTTAATTTGCTTTGCTGAAACGTATGCTTCTCTCCTACTGCAGTCCCCAGGCTTCAGCCGGTCGGGCTTGAATATGTTTTCAACGGATTTGAAGCAAGAGTGTCTTTTGATTTCCGTGTATCTCCTTTTAGGTAGCTCTCCAAACATATGATTCGCGAAATACACTCATTTTTGCATCAACTGGGTGTTTTAACAGGAAATTCGACTGAAGCTCAGCTGAAACTTTTGTTCTGGATATTCTTCAAGTAAATCTGCTGATGTTTCAGTTGGTACAATAGTTGAGATATCACAATGGACTTTCTTTGAAGGAGCAATACTCACAATATTGCTGGGAGCTTTTCGATGACCCAAAATCAATTTTGTCTGGGCTAATCGGGTAAACACAGTCCCGGAAGTTCCGTCAAACGGATGTTCTACTTTAGGCCTTGTATTATAAGTAGCCTAGTATATATATATATATATA